AATTCGAACAAAACATTCGAAATAGAAAGCCACTTTCAACCACTTTCAGCCTCATATCTCCCGCACCCTTATAGCTATCAAGATGCAACCACCCCTATGCACGAATGGAGACTTGGGGCTACTACCACATACAAACACCATTCACGTGCGATGTGTAGTTTTGGCGGAAAAGTGAAATATAGGGACATACATGTCCATTTTTATATATATATAGATATATAATTCACTATTGCTATTTGCCTGTTAGGGCCTTTAACAACTGCTAGGATATAATTGAAGAAAGAAATGCCAGCATTTAAATTATTACATTGAAAGGAAATATACCATTCAAAATTTAAAGTAGTTACTGGTTAATTACTAGCAGTTAGTTAACTTATGATGATTACATTTTATCAACCACATGCTGAGGCTAATAGCATGACGAGACAGTTTAAAAATATATTTATATCTTCAGGTAAATAGGCAAAGTTTTTAAGTAAAAATAAATTTAAAAACTCATGCCAATGTTTGTATAACTTATGGATACAAATTCACTGAGTTCAGCGTTAATAAAGTTTCTTTAGTATTAACACAAGCACTTTCGACGAATGTATAATCGTCGTCTTCAGGTGAAAAGAATAAAATTTTAACAAGACAAACGTGCAGGATATTCCAAAGGAACAAAATATTTAAAATTCAAACAGGCGTCCGGAAATTCCGTTAAGAACGTGCAAATAATTTTTTTTTTTTTTTTTTTTTTTTTTTTTTTGTATGTTCGAATTTTTATATTTCCTTTTGCACTGAGCACAACTATTTCCTTTTTAACAAGAGCATCTACTTGCAGAAACGAGGAGTTCCGATGGGCTCTCCGCTATCTGCAGTCTTGGCCGAGCTCATTATGAGAGAAGTCGAGCGTAGAATTTTCAACTCCCCTCTTACCATCAGTTATCCGTCGCTATACTTACGTTATGTCGACGACATCCTAATAATATGGGAGAATACAGAGGAGGAGTTTATCAAATTTGTGCAGCATCTTTCAAGCATATACCCTACAATCAAGTTCACTTGGGAGAGGGAGCATGAGGATTCAATAGCGTTCCTGGATCTGTGTATACAAAAGTCGGTTGAGGGGCCGCAATTTGCTGTTCACCACAAATCTGATATGTTACCGTATATTATCCCGGCAGATGCTTTCCAACCGTCGCGGTATATCAATGCCGCCATTGCTGCACTGGTTAGAAGAGCATTGTTGCTTCCATCGACACAGCTAGCAACAAAAATGGAATTAGACATCATCAGAGTAGCGGTATCTCTTGCAGGATTTACATATGGCAAATACGAGCATGTGCTCCGTAAAGTAAAAGAGGCCCTATACCCATGTACCACGCTGTACAGAAAGGAAAAAGCATCCGTGATCCAATCATCATTGCCGTATCTTGGACCAATTTCTATACGCATCAGCCGCATATTTCGACGACATAATTTCATACTACCCATAACTCCCCTACCAAGCCTGCGCAGATGTATCTGCAACGACCGGGACAGGCTAACCACTTTAGAAAAGTCAGGGGTTTACAAGATACACCTAGAAAATCCGGTAACGGGAAATATTACAAGATACATAGGAGCAACAACAAGAATGCTCGCCTCCCGCCTTGCTGAGCATCAGGATGACGTAGCCAAAGGAAGATGTTCTACTGAGCTCGCTAAAAAAGTTCTCGAGCAAGGCTACAACCCATTATGGCCCAGAACGGAAATAATTAAATGCTGCAACAATCGAAGGCTTGTGTTTATCTGGGAAGCGCTTCTCACGGCTACTTCAGAAGCGTGCAATGTTCCCACCCTCGATCTACCCGGGGTGTGGATTGCCTTATATCGGCGCCTAAAAAGCGAAACGCGCCTAACATCGTATCGCCAACGCGGTAGCATTTCCACGCATGCGCCGCTAACATCGTAAAATATAAAAATTCAAACATATCAAAAAAAAAAAAAAAAAAATTATTTGCACGTTCTTAACGGAATTTCTGGACGCCTGTTTGAATTTTAAATATTTTGTTCCTTTGGAATATCCTGCACGTTTGTCTTGTTAAAATTTTATTCTTTTTACCTGAAGACGACGATTATACATTCGTCGAAAGTGCTTGTGTTAATACTAAAGAAACTTTATTAACGCTGAACTCAGTGAATTTGTATCCATAAGTTAGGCAAAGTTTTTATTGTCTATTTTAACTTGTATGTTTTGATAATATTAAGCAATTGATAATGATATCTATAACTACAATAAGCAGAAACTATTCTAATAAACAATTTGATAAATTTCATTCTTTACATTCAGTTTTCATGGAAAAATAATGTAGAGTTCTCTTTAAATATCATTTTTATAAATGAAGTGATTTAGATAAATAAAATTATATATTGTATGCATAGTTTCTCCCTTGAAAATGTTTGTTCAAAAGAATACTTCCTTCTAAACTAGCAGTTATAAAAATCATTTCTAAGAATGAAGCATCAAATCCAAATGGAAAAGATTGCTAGAGACAAGTCATAATTTCAAAAATAAACACTTTAAGTGAAGATGAGATCAGCTATTTCAAATTAATAAGATGAAGATCAGAAGGATGAAATCAGAAAATGAAGAAGACAAAATCAGACAATGTTTTAAAAGTGCTTATTTATTGAAATTATGATTAACTGACTCAGTAGACTTTTTCAACTAGATTTAATGTTTCTTTTTTCATTCTAATAGTATTATGGCATTATGCTAAGTATTTTAATGTGCAAAAAGACAATATCAAGCGAAAAAAATAGTTTTTAATTTGAAAAATTAGATATACTGTATTACATATAGTAGTTTTTATTACAAAATAAAATGAATTATTCTCTTTCTGATACTTATCATAAAATCTAATGTAAAGTCATTATTGAACTAGATAATTGCTTTTCAGTTTAATTTGTTAAATATCTAGTTTTTTATTTTAATTAACGTTTTAAAGTATATTTAATTTGTATAACATATTGAAGAACTATATATTATAATTAAATATGATAATATTTTACAGAGGGGGTGTGGTAGATCAAAATGCTCTTTATCAAGCTCTTACTACAGGCCAAATTAAAGCAGCAGGTTTGGATGTAATGACTCCAGAACCTTTACCACCTGATCATCCTCTGACTGAATTAAATAACTGTGGTAAATATTTTATTTTATTCTAACATTAAAATGTTTGCAGAAGAAACTATAAATTGAATAAAATTTATTGTTAAGTTAAACACAACTAAATTCCTTGAATAACAAACAGCTTTACATAAAAGGAAATATATTTTCAATTTTTCAACTCCATCTTCATTTTCAATACCATTAAAATATAAAACTATTTCAACCAATATTCAGATAAAAGTTTGTAATCATTACAATAACACCTTAAATCACTGAGAAAAGATTTATTCAATGAATGTTTTCAACCTGGTTGACAGACCATCAGGTTTTAAATTTTTTGGAACATTAACAAGCATTCCTTATCAATAAAACATGTAAGAATATATAGAAGAGCGCCAGTTATCCGAATCAATTGGGGACTGGGGTGGTTCGGATAACGAATCATGTATGAAAAAATATATTAATTTATCCCATGTTGAAATTTCTCTCCGTTGCGTGTTGCTTTTCGTTGAATTTTTGTCTATGTTAAGCCTAACGAAGACTATTGTATCTTAAAAATCTTCTAATCCGAATACCGGTATTCTTATAAAAATCGTACTTACTCATACGACCCGGATATTCACGCGGAGCTATCAAAAGCCAGATTAATAAATAGAGCTTTTCATACGGATCACATCAGAGCACTTGAAGCCCTAGAAATCTACAAAGCAGGCAGGACAGGGAGATGTATAAACAACAAAGACGGAAACACGCTTTCTTATGCTTGGCGTTACGTATGCGAAGAACAACAAAAACGATGACGATACGTAACACGCGCAAGAAATTCGATTATATTTAAAACTAAACGTGCATTCGAAGAATGAAATCCAATAATTTAACCTGAAGCAGACCTCGACTGAGGCCGAAAACGTTTGTTTTACAAATAATTTTACAAGTACCGGACAATAAAGGTTGAGTAAGTACGACTATTGTATCGTTAAAAATTATTTTTTATTTTGTACAAACAAAATAAATTTATTGAAAAATATAAAAACAATAAAAAATTATACTTCAGATGTTAATTTAGTATCAAAAACGTAAAATATTTGAGTAGCCCAAGAAATAGCCGAAGATTGCAGCGCCACAGCACTAGCAAAAATTTAAATTTGCCGACTGGAATGCTTTCGGATAATGGACGTTTCGGATAAACAGCTTTCAGATAAACAACGCTATACTGTATTTAAAATTACAAAGTCATTCGAATTTGAAAATAAATATATATATATAAATATTGCAATATTAAAAAGAAAACAATAATTCTAACTAAAAGAGAAAGGAAACATAAAAATAAAAGAATATCGTTTTTTATTGAATAGGCATTGAGGATTAGAATCTGATGAGTTTCTCTCAACTACATACTTCCAACTATGGATAACCTGGTGATGGCCTTTCGAGCAGGTTGAAAACGTTTGTTGAATAAATTTTTTCTTAGTGATTTTAGGTGTTATTGTAATGATTATAAAACTATTTGTTGTTCTAAACATAACTGAAACTTCATAGTGTTAAAATGTTGTGCAAATAAGTTATTTTATATGTTATACAGTGGGTGATCAGTTAATGAACATAATGTTCCAAGACTTTATTTGTTATCCGAATTGTTTGTTAACCGATTATCGATTTACCATAGGTTTTTATGGGAATTTGATTAATTCATTCCGGAGACTCCAAAAAATAAAAGCTATATACTTTTTTACTATGTTTATTTATATATAATAGTAAAAATACATATACGAGGTGTTTCCGGAAAGTAAGTACCATTTCGTTCTACCGCCACTACAGCGGTAGTATCGCAGTTCAGCGCCTGCGCACACGTGTCTCTGGTTGATTGTCAGTCGAGTGACACCATTAAAGCCAGATTGTGTTGTTTTTCCACGTGTTAGTGAGCGTTCAAAATGTTTAAGACGATTGCCGATCCCACTGACTGTGAAGTGCGTTCTGTAATACGGTTTTTGAACGCAAAGAATGTTAAGCCAGTTGAAATTCATCATCAACTTGTAGAGATTTATGGTGAAAATGTAATGAGTGATAAAATGGTGAGAAAGAGGGTTTGACAATTCAATGCTGGACGCACCAATGTTCATGACGAAGCACTTCTGTTATCAATGATGGTTTGGTTGCAAAAGTGAATAAGAAAATTCTTGAAAACAGACAGTTCAAAATAAGATTGCTTTGTGATGAGTTTCCACAAATTTCAAAAACTGTTTTGCATGAGATTGTCACAAATCACTTAAATTATCGCAAATTGTGTTCCTGTTTGGTTCCCAAAATACTTACAGATGTCCACAAAATGAAGCGACTTGGAAGTGCTTTGACATTTCTTACCCGATACAGTGAAGAGGGTAAAGATTTTTTAAACAAAATTGTTACCGGTGATGAAACTTGGATTTGTCATGTCACTCCAGAATCAAAACAACAGTCGATGGAGTGGAGGCACTCATGGTCCCCCACAAGACACAAATTCAAAACAACGTTTCTCCACGAAAAATCATGTGCACTGTGTTCTGGGCTTTCTGCTTGTTGAGTTCCTTCCCAGAGGTGAAACCATCAATGCGGAACGATACTGTGAAACATTGCGAAAACTTTGCCATGCAATTCAAAACAAAAGACATGGAAATCTCAGTAAAGGCATTGTGTTGCTTCACGACAACACACATCCCCATACTGCTGGTGTCACTCAAAACCTTATTCAACAATTCAGTTGGGAGCAGTTCGATCATCCGCCATACAGCCCTGACCTCGCACCTGCAGACTACCATTTGTTCTTGAACTTGAAGCGTGATTTTGGAGGGAGGCGCTTTGCCAGCAATGAACACTCAACAACCAATGTTCAGCAGTGGCTGTCTTCTCTGGCGGCATCTTTCTTTGAAGAGGGTATAGACAAGTTGGTTTCCCGATATGACAAATGTCTGAACAATGGTGGTAACTATGTAGAAAAATAGTTTCCGACATGCTCTTTCATGTAAAAATAAATTTTGTTTTGAAAAAAGATTTTTTATGTGAGTTTTTCCAAAATGGTACTACTTTCCAGACATGCCTCGTATATGCAGTCTTGCATTTTTATTAGTCATGTTTTTTCCATTTGTGGGGGTTAAAGAATCTGTCCAATGTCGATTGCTTTTCTCTTTTCTTCGAGATTTTTCGGAAGTAATTAATAGTATTGTAATTGTAGAGATCCCCAACCCCATTAACCTTATTCTGGTTTGGATGCCACTTGGATGATTGTTGTACATCCTCCCACTTCTTCAAAAGATCTTTAGTAGCAAATGTCAACATGGTCCTCTTTTGTCTTCCTCTTTTTCAAAAGAAAACACATCTTGCTGAGTTTCTTGATATTCTTCATTTGAGAGTTGTTGGAGTTCTTCTGTTGTCAGATCAGTTTCAGGTTCCATTATGAGCTCTAAAATGCTCTTNAATGTTTATTTTATGTTATACTCAAAAATCTTTCTTAAGTGTTTTTTTAAATATACTTTGTTATATTTTGTTGAAATGAACAGAGGTAAAGGTGTTAGAACGTATCATATTGATAATCTTTAACTTTTAATTTACAAAAAATATATATATAGACTGAATTGAACTTTTTTTATTTTATGTAATCAATCAGAGTAAAAAATCAATTCAACTTTTTTTACTTATATTTTTTATTAATAATTCTGTAATCAATTCTGAAAGAATTATATATTTTCGTCTGTATAACGTGTCGTGTAAAAAATTCAATCCAATTATTTACAAATTTATATACTGTATTTACAAAAGCGGTGATCTCAAATTAATTAATTAAAATCAATTTTTAGGTAGTTAAAGCTTTCATAATACTAACTGAGAAATATAATGACGCTGATAAAGAAGAATTGATAATACAGTTACAAGATCACGTTAAAAATATTACTTCTCCTTATAAATATCCTAGAAAAGTAAGTATAAATATTATTATATTAAAAGTTTAATTAATTAAGCCACTTAAATTATTTTGTTTTTAGATTGAATTTGTAGAAGATTTGCCAAGAACGATAAGTGGAAAAGTACAAAGATTCAAATTACGATTAAAAGAAAGAGAGGAAAATAAGTTATAATAGCATAATAAACTTTATTTCTTTACTTTTTTGTCAATTGGATGGTTTTTAGTAATTAACTTGCACTTTGAAATATTTTTAGGAAATAAAATTAATTTGGTCTTTTAAATCCTCGTATTATTGTAATTTCCTTATTGACGAAATCAGAATTCGACGAAAACTTCAATTTTTGAACAGACTATAATGAAATTATAAATATTTATAATAATGTTAAACTATACATTATTCATTATANGGTTTCTTTTGTGTTTTTATTTACCATTATTATTATTGGTATGTAATTATAAATGCTAAGTTATAGCTCATTATAACAGCTAGCTTATCAATGCATTTTTTAATAATAACATAGAAGTTCAAAAAGTTTTGTTTATTATATTTTCAGGTATTTGGATTTTGTCATCTTCAGTTTAATAATCATAATCTCCATTCACTTCAAATAAAGTTAGTAGCAGCATTAATAAGATGTACTGGTAATTATTATATTCTTTACTTTAGTGTTATAAAGTTATTGAAACAGATCAATGACTTCAAATAGCTTCACTTTAAAAAAAATTCGACAAATTTTATTGTTTTAACATTTCTGAAAACTTTTCAGTTTCATCATCATAACTTGTCTACAGAAGAAATAAATTTATTCCAGAATGTATAGTTTGAATGTACAGTTTGATTTGGTATTCTAACAACCCAAACTTCTGGAAAAATAATGAATTTCAAACTATAATCAAACTTTCTCAAAAGTTTCCCTTTTCCTTAGAAAACTCACATTCTTTTCCAAGAACTATATGCTTTGAACACTTTTTCTGTTCATTAACCGATCACCCACTGTACTTAAACATTTTTTTTCTNTTTGCCAGCAATGAACACTCAACAACCAATGTTCAGCAGTGGCTGTCTTCTCTGGCGGCATCTTTCTTTGAAGAGGGTATAGACAAGTTGGTTTCCCGATATGACAAATGTCTGAACAATGGTGGTAACTATGTAGAAAAATAGTTTCCGACATGCTCTTTCATGTAAAAATAAATTTTGTTTTGAAAAAAGATTTTTTATGTGAGTTTTTCCAAAATGGTACTACTTTCCAGACATGCCTCGTATATGCAGTCTTGCATTTTTATTAGTCATGTTTTTTCCATTTGTGGGGGTTAAAGAATCTGTCCAATGTCGATTGCTTTTCTCTTTTCTTCAAGATTTTTCGGAAGTAATTAATAGTATTGTAATTGTAGAGATCCCCAACCCCATTAACCTTATTCTGGTTTGGATGCCACTTGGATGATTGTTGTACATCCTCCCACTTCTTCAAAAGATCTTTAGTAGCAAATGTCAACATGGTCCTCTTTTGTCTTCCTCTTTTTCAAAAGAAAACACATCTTGCTGAGTTTCTTGATATTCTTCATTTGAGAGTTGTTGGAGTTCTTCTGTTGTCAGATCAGTTTCAGGTTCCATTATGAGCTCTAAAATGCTCTTTATTTCTCAGATGTGATTTTCATTACTCCATTAGCAGCTTGAGACTTCTTGTTACAGCTAAACAAGAAACGAGAAAATTATCATCCAGGTGTTAAACTACATATAAATATTGCTATAAATTACTAGCACTTTCGATGAAACTATTTTCGTCTTCTTCAGGTAGATAAAACAGTTAATAATTTTTTTCAAATTATTCTAATGGCAAAAAAGCTTTGGAATATAACCAAAGATGGAATTAAACATAAAGAATTTGAATAATATGTGCGTGGTGCCAATGCACATGTGCAAAAAATTTTTTTGCTAGCATGTGGAGCTAGAGACGATATCTTAATCTGTTATATAAGTTGATTCACATAGAAGGCACATCCAGTGTGGGGGTGTTGCACGGATTTAGTATGTTGGTAAGGAAGGCCTCCCAAATATACAAAACGCTTCTGTTATCAGAATGTCTGAGCATCACCACCTAGTCCCACAGTGGGTTGTATTGGTGTTGCAACACTATTCTTGCTAGCTCGGTATCACACTTGCCTGCCCTGATAGAATGCTGGTGTTCAGAAATACGGCAAGACAACATTCTGGATGTCACTCTGATGTAGTGGGTGTGAATACCAGACGTACTTTCCAATGGGATAGAATAAACTCCAGACCTCTCTAGTACGGAAAAAGCATCCCCGTCATTGCATAATAACGTCCTAAGGTTTGATCGCGGAGAAACTGGTTGAAAGAGCGCATGTTGCCTAAAAACTCAGCAAATGCAGACAGTTATTTGGCCACAGAATGATAAAGCGGGATGGACTATCATGCATTCCTTTGAGACTTGTAAAGTAGTGGCGGGAAAAAGAGATCTTTTAATCTTTTTTAGGATGTACATAAAACTTGGACTTAGCATAACCCGCTGCACTTACTGCTGAGCAAATGGCTTTAAGCTCGATATTGATAACAGCTTGATTGGAAGACAACAGAACAGTCCTTCCAATTAGAGGGGCAATAGCTTCATTGATATAATGCTTCAGCTGGTATGCTGTGGCAGGGATTAAAGGGAGTATGCTGCTGAATTTATGGAACACGGAGTACAGTATAGTACCCTGGGATTTGGAGATGTTTAGATCTAAAAACGCAATTTCTCCTTCCTTTTCCTTTTCCCAGGTAAAGTTGATGGTAGAATAAACTTCCGTAAGATAACTGTTGAGGACATGAAAATCCTCCTTCGTCTCTTGTCAAGCTACGAGAATATTGTCCACATATCTGAGATATATCAGTGGGTATGCTCTCATGAGGGAGAAGCTAAAAACCCTTTGCTCAACACACCTCATGAGCAACTCTGCTAATATAGCAGATAGTGGTGAGCCCATAGGGACCCCTTGTTTCTGCAGATATATTTTCCCGTTGAACCAAAAATAATTATTTTCTGTGATAAAAAGTAGAATCTCACATATTTCTAAGACTTGCTGTGCTGTAATGCACTCCTTGACAAGTATAGCATTGGCGAGTATAACAGCCTCAAACTCAGGTACTGAGGGGTAGAGAGCAACTACATCCATCTTGTAGAAACTATAATTATTATGGGATAAGCTATCCAAGACAGAAGATATAGATGCCTTTGCTGCAATGGATGCAGACGTAACCAGAGGGGAAGGGGGTAGGAACCCACCTAGTAACTTGGCAAGTGCCTTCTCAAGGTGGTAGGTTGGGTGGGTCCTTTTATTAACCAGTGGCCTTAATGGCCAGTCCTCCTTGCAGGTTTTAACTTCAAAGAAGAGCCTGGGACAAGCTACATTGGATGGAGGATCCACTTGCCCAGGAAGAGCTGAAATACTTGGAAGAGATATTATTTTCTTAGTTTCCTTAGTATGGTAGGAGTTGGGTCAGCTTGTAAGACTATGGCATGGGAACACCTGGATGATAATTTTCTCGTTTCTTGCTTATCTATTGATCAGCTTGAAGTCCAATCCTATTCACATTTCATAGCTAAGATTGTGCCTACTGTAGACCTGTTCAAGCCATACTGCCTAGCAACATCAGACATCTTGTGCCCACTTTCTATCCTGGCTATTATCTCTTACTTGGTTTTTACAGTGAGCACAGTTCTTGAAAGTCCTTTTTTTAGGTTCCATAATATTATCAGTTTCTTTTTTAAATAAAAAGTTCAGGAAAGCACTTACAAAAATTCAGAGAATTAAGTAGCCCACAAAAAATTATTTAAATAAAGGCTCAGATGAAATTCAAAATTTGGTATTAAAATGTTAATGAATATTCGATGGGACAGTTAAACTTTCACCTTTTGTAAATATCTAAACACAAAACTTAACAAGTGCCCGTCTGACAGTCTCGCAAAGATTATAAAAAATTATTTGTCAGAAAGGTAAACAAAAGGCTAGAATTACAAAGGAGAGTTTCAAAATTCAGAGGAATACTATCCAATCGGTATTGGGTTGAGCATCGATGTTGACATCTCCTGCACTCCGAAAGGTTTCAAATTGTTACCTGAAGACAAGGGAAAATCAATCAGTATTCGTTATTTTCCATCACTTCTTTTTACATTTGTTCAGTAAAGTGTTTGTTTAATAAAATAAAATGGAGAAGACACTGAGGTCAGCATTACATGTACATTTTGAAACGTACGTGTAACGCCAACCTCAGTGTCTTCTCCATTTTATTTTATTACACAGTATTTTGGCATGATAGTCGTCCTATTGATCACAAAGTGTTTGTTGTCTGATCATAAAAAAATTTTGCGAAAGTGTTCGTTATCCAAACTTTTTGTTAACCGATCATCCACTGTATTTTCAAATATTTTATGTATAAAGAGTTGACTACAATAGTAATAATAAAGTTAGTTTTATGTTTTATATAATCTTATTACTTCAGCTTTTTATTACTGAAAGTGATGTCATATGTATAGTAAATTTTAACATTAATGTCTGACAAAACTTTTGATTGTTAATATTTTCATATTTCTTTTTACTATATTTTTGTGATACACCAACCAAAGCCAAATATTATTGGGCTAGAAATGCTATAACACTAATAATTTAAAAGACAATTTGGCAATAGAGTTAGGCGTTAGGCACTATCTCTTGATAAATTTAATAATTATAATTTAAATAATTTTAAATAAATTTTAGNGTGGCAAGAACACCAGATGACGCTTTTATCATTTTTGCATTTTAACTACGGAGGCAGTAGCCTAAAAAGGAAGGTCGTCTCCGTGAGTTTGTGATTTTATGAACTGCTGATGGTGCGAACAACGAAAGAAATGACTGAAACAAAAATTTTTTTTGTAAGAGTCGTCCTTTTATTTTATTAATATGTATAGTTTAATTTATAATTAAAATTAATTTCGACAATGCATTTCTGAAATCGACCATATTTTTCTAAAGTTAACTGCAACAGAAAAAAAAATATGTAGACCTTTATTTTGCAAATAAATTATTTTTCGATTGTCAAATCTAACTAGCAAACGATTAGTTACATCTTCAAGAGGGAAATAAAATTTAATTTTGCTTGTTTGTCGATTGTGTTTC